GAGCATCAAACAAATTTTAAATATTTTGCAAAGATAGCCCAAGTAAATACAAAATGCAGTTTTTAAATGACGATTTCATTTATTAAGGGAAAAAAGCCATCCAAACCTGCGTGGCTCTATGGGAAAAGGTAACTGCCCCCGAAATAACTGGTTGTGCCGCCCTTGGAGGCAACTGCAATCAAGCGTTTGTGATAACTGGCGATGAGTCTTTCACTCTTCTTTGCAGTATTGTTTTAATTCAGCCACATTGGAGGGTTTTCCAGCATGAACGGTGTGTTTAGGTCATGCCACAGCATCTCTATTGGATTTAAGTCCAGACTTTGACTATGGCTAGGTATTTGATTACTTCCCGTCCAGCCCAGGTACATAAACGGCCGGAGCAGTGCAGGAGCGCGTGGCCATTTATAAACGGCCTACTCATTCCCTGCCTGTGCCCGCTCCCTGGGAGTGCACAGCAACCACAATCCGGTGCCCACTGTGTCCTCCGAATAGAGGAACAGCGATTGCTGTATGGGACCTCTGTGTGAGGTCCTGATCATGTGATCACTGATTGGCCAATCAGTGATCACATGAACAGTAGTAAGCAAGATGTCACTTCCTGACATCATTGCTTACTACGTGTGAAATCTGTGAATGATCACCGAGATCACATGGTACAGGGCTATTCACAACAGCCTTATACCATGTGACAATCTGTGACCAATCACAGCTCTCACAGTATTTCTCAATGGCTGCAAGAATGCAGCCAGAGAGAAAGAAATTATTGCTTTTACAGCCTTTATAGGTGTAAAAGCAATCAGTGTAAAAAAAAAAAAAAAAAAAAATCTTCATCACCCCCCACAAGTAGTACAGTGTCACTATGGTGACACTGTACTGCTATGGTGACAGTATGTTTAAAAAAAACAAATAATATAAAAATGTAGTATTTTTTTTAGAAATTATAATTTTTGGTTATAAACTAATTTGGGTTATTTTTTTTTTTTTTTTTTACTAAAAAGATAGCTGAATTCATTTTGGCCAAGATTTAGGAAGAAAGATTATTTATTTGCAACATTTTACAAGAAAAACACTTTTTTTTTCAAAAATGTTTAGACTTTTTCATTTAAATAGCAAAAAAATTAAAATCCCAGTGGTGAATAAATACCACCAAAATAAAGTTTTATCTCTCTAAAATCAAATGCTAAAAAATTAATATGGGTACAGTGTTGCATGACCGCGCAATTGTCAATCAAAGTGTGAGAGCGCTGAAAGCTGAAAATTGGCCTGGACTGGAAGGGGGTGAAAGTGTCCAGACATGAAGGGGTTAATAAACTTGCATTCTCTTTGTCACAAACTTTATCTTTACACTAGGGTCCACATGATCACATATGATTTTTTATTACTTATATAATTAACCGCTTCCCGTCTGCCCATTGCCTATAGACGGCAAATGGGAAGCTGTGCCGATGTGGGCTAAGGTACTTGTACATCAGCCTGCCTCCGTGGCTCCTGTGCAGTTCCCAGAGCTCGCACCTAGACGTCTAGCGATCGGTATGTTGCCTGGACAAAGGGGTTCTCATTACCGCTGCATTCAGGCGATCACATGGTGTTTTACCATGTGATTGCTGTGACCAATCACAGCATTCACATAGTAAACACTGCGCATGAAAGTAGAGATTGGTTCTCTATGCTCTCACTATGAAAGCAGAGAGACCGATGCAGCAGTCTGTGAGTGTACAGCAACCTATCAGGCTGCATGTACCCCTCACAGACTGCGGTGTCAGCCACCCCAATGTTCCCGATTACTGCCCCAGTGTATCTAAACACTGCCCATTGTAGTCAATAATAAACATGCAGCCAGCATCTGTCACCTGTTTCAGTGCTCACAATAACACCTGCCATGCACCATATCAATGTCCTGATCACTGCCATACCAGCATCCTGATCACCTGCATACACCATACCAATGTCCTGATCACTGACATACCAGCATCCTGATCACCTGCATACACCATACCAATGTCCTGATCACTGCCATACCAGCATCCTGATCACCTGCATACACCATACCAATGTCCTGATCACTGCCATACCCCATACCAACGTCCTGATCACCACCATACCCCATACCAACGTCCTGATCACCACCATACCCCATACCAACGTCCTGATCACCACCATACCCCATACCAGCATCCTGGTCACCATCATACCCCATACCAGCATCCTGATCACCATCATACCCCATACCAGCTCCCTCATCACCTCCATACACCATACCAGCACCCTGATCACAAATTTGTTTTGAATTTTTGTCTTGATTTCCTCTTTACATATTTTTTGAATACCCTATCTCAGGGCTTGAAATTTCCACTCGCCTGCTCACCAATGGCGAGTGGAAATTATGGTGGGGGCGAGTGTGTCCCCCAGGGCCGTCTTGCTGAGCAGGCTCGGAGCTCAGGCCGGATCTGTCATCGGCACTGGGAGCCGTCAGACTGTTCAATAGCTGAGCGCAGTGAAAGCAAAGGAAGGAGTGTGTGCTGTGCTCTCTGCCTCCCCCTAGAGTGCAGTACCGGATCTGTGAGTGAACAACGAAGTACTGCAACTTTTTATCGGGGAAGTGTGTGTGTACGTGTACATGTGTGTGTGTGTTTATGTGTGTCTGTGTATGTATGTACCATTGTACATGTGTCTGTGTGTATGTACATGTGTATATCTGTACATGTGTATGTGTGTGTGTGTGCATGTACATGTGTGCGTGTGTTTGTGTGTATGTACATACATGTGTCTGTGTATGTATGTACATGTGTCTGTGCGTATGTATTTCTGTGTATGTACATGCATCTGTGTGTATGTGTGTCTGTACGTGCCCGTGTGTATACATGTGTCTGAATGTGTGTGTATACATGTGTCTGTATGTGTCTCTGTGCGTGTGTGTACATGTTTCTGTGTGTGTGTGTGTATGTACATGTCTGTGTGTGTGTACAGGTGTCTCTGTTTGTGTGTATTTGTTGGTGGCGAGTAACTCTAAGGCCTGGCTAGCAGCTCAGGACTTCAAATTATAAGCCCTGTCCTATCTCATTCTATACAGACGTGACCCTCACAGGTTTTACTTTTGGCCTTTTAAATGTATTGCCCGTTGGTATATACAGTATTTTGCAGTGTGTTTGCGATTTGAAATATTCCCATTTGTGTTCTGTATTCACTGATGACAATATTCCCTTCCAGTCTACATCTTAAAGAGCAGCCTCAGCCTTGGAAAATTTGCTCTTTTAAAATTAGGTGTCTTATCTTTCTTATGTGCTTATTGTTTGAAGCTTACAGTGTGGAAAGTAATTATTTGATCCCCTACAAATTTTGTAAGTTTGCTCACCTACAAAGAAGTGAAGGGTCTATAATTTTACCGTATTTTTCGCTCCATAAGACGCACTTTTTTCCCCCCAAAAAAGGGGGGAAAATGTCAGTGCGTCTTATGGAGCGAATATAGAGCGGCCGGTCCGGTATTTCCACCGCCGCCGTGCAGAATACCGGGCCGGCCGCTCAGCTCTGCAGTGGGACCTTAAGGAGAGGACTGCTGACCTTTGGGGAGGTGGGGAGCGGGTACCTGAATTGGACAGGTACCCGCTCTTACTTCTTTGTTCTTTGACCTTACCTGTTCCTCTATCCAGCGGCGCGCTGTCTTCCCGGCTTCTGTAATGTGGGCGCTGGGCATGACAGCCAGGTGCCAAGTGCGCATGCGCAAGAAGCGGTGCTTTTTGTGAATGGTAAGGCGGTACCTGGGACACATGACAGATCCCAGAAGCCTCCGGACCAATCACAAAGCGCAAGTGCTTCTCGCTCATGCGCACTGGGCACCCGGCTGTCATGCCGAGTGCCATTACAGAAGCTGGGAAGACAGCGCGCGGCTGGATCGAGGAACAGGTAAGGTCAAAGAAAAACTCTGCGGAAGTAAGAGCGGGTACCTGTCAAATTCAGGTACCCGCTCCCCCCACCTCCCCAAAGGTCAGCAGTCATCTGTACTGTCCGCAGTCTCTGGTCATCCCTGTGCTGTCCGCAGTCTCTGGTCATCCCTGTGCTGTCCGCAGTCTCTGGTCATCCCTGTGCTGTCCGCAGTCTCTGGTCATCTCCTGTACTGTGTCCGCAGTCTCTGGTCATCTTCTGTACTATGTCCGCAGTCTCTGGTCATCTCCTGTACTGTGTCCGCAGTCTCTGGTCATCCCTGTACTATGTCTGCAGTCCATTAGTTCAGAATTTTTTTTTCCTGTTTTCTGCCTCTAAAACCTAGGTGCGTCTTATGGTCAGGTGCATCTTATGGAGCGAAAAATACGGTATTTTTATCATAGGTGTATTTTAAATGATAGAGAATATTAACCAAAAATCCAAAAAAACACATAATACAAATGTTATAAATTGAGTTGCAGTTCAGTGAGTAAAATAAGTATTTGATCCTCTACCAACCAACAATAATTCTGGCTCCCACAGACTGGGCTATGTGCTCATGTGGTACACAGACTAGTCCTGTCAATTTAGGAAGGTGCTCCTAACAACTCGTTATCTATATAAAAGACAACTGTCCACAGAATCTCTTTCTTCCATGCAAACCTCACCTTGCCATGGGCAAGATCAAAGAGCTGTCAAAGGACGTCGTCAGGGACAAGATTGTACACCTGCACAAGGCTGGAATGGGCTACAAGACCATCAACAAGAAGCTTGGTGAGAAAGAGACAATTGTTGGAGCGATTATTCGCAAATGGAAGAAATAGAAAATAACGATCAATTGCCCTCGGTCTGGAACTCCATGCAGGATTTCACCTCATGGAGTAAGGGTGATCATGAGAAAAGTGAGGGATCAACCCAGAGCTACACAGAAGGAACTTGTGAATGATCTCAAGGCAACTGGGACCACAGTCACCAGACAAACTATTGGTAACACAATATGCTGCCATGGATTGAAATCCTGTAATCCTGAACACCATCCCTACAGTCAAACACGGAGGTGGAAACATTATGCTTTGGGGCTGTTCCTCTACTAAAGGTACAAGCTGTCTTTGCCGCATTGAGGGGCCAATGAACGGGGCCATGTATTGTAAAATCTTGGATGAGAACCTTCTTCCCTCAGCAAGAACACTAAAGATGGTTCGTGGATGGGTCTTCCAGCATGACAATGACCCAAAACATACAGCCAAGGCAACAAAGGAGTGGCTCAAGAAGAAGCACATTAAGGTCATGGAGTGGCCTAGCCAGTCTTAAGACCTTAATCCTATAGAAAATGTATGGAGGGAGCTGAAACTTCGAGTTGCCACTCGACAGCCATGAAACCTTAAGGATTTAGAGAAGATCTGTAAAGAAGAGTAGACCAAAATCCCTCCTGAGATGTGTGTAAACCTGGTAACCAACCACAAGAAACATCTTACCTCTGTGATTGCCAACAAGGGTTTCTCCACCGACTACTAAGTCATGTTTTGCTTGGGGATCAAATACTTATTTTACTCACTGAACTGCAACTTAATGTATACCATTTGTATCATGTGTTATTTCTGGATTTTTGGTTGATATTCTGTCTCTGTCGTTTAAAATATACCTATGATGAAAATTATAGATCCTTAATTTCTTTGTAAGTGGGCAAACGTACAAAATATGCAGGGGATCAAATTATTATTTTCCCCACCGTGCATTAAATGAAATCATGGTATGGTCACTGCTACCCAGATTATGTAGTTTTATTAATAAGCTCCTTGTGGTTTGAAGTTACTAGGTCCAGCAGAGCATCATGTCTAGTTGGGGTTTCTATAAACTATACCATAAAACTGTCTTGTACATAACTCTGCAGTATCCACCTAACATATCATATTTGTCATATATTGCAATTTACCAGCCTGTAGATGTGGCAACACTTTCTGCAAGTACTGAAAAACACCTGTTGATCCTGAGAAGTGTTTGTGCTGAAATTTCCAAAAAGGGTTATCACTTTCTCAGCTATGATCTACCTACTGTTGTGTGATGAAGAGGAGAGAGGAAGGTGTTCTGTAATCCTGTCCTAGAGTGACAACACTGCCTCTCCATAGATATAGTACAAAGAGTGAACATTGTCACTCTAGGACAGGAAGTGTGTTACTGGCAGAAACAGCAGGTGGAAATAAGGGGAAAAAAAGCCTGAAGATAGAAAAGTAATGCAGCCATCACATCTAAAGACTTGTAATCTGTGGTATATTGCAATTTTGTTTCTGTGTTAAGATACACTTTAATGGTTTATTCCAATTACATACAAGAAAAAGTTGCCTTCCAAATCAGGCTGATACATGAGCATTCTATAGTCCGGTACAACTCCCCTACCTTTCTTCCAGTCCACAAGTTTTAAAGAAGCTCCTTGGTTAGCTACATAGATGCCGCCTGCAGTGACACATAAAGCGTAGAGACCCCGCAGAAGGAGTGACAGACTGTCACAGGAGTGCAGAAGACTCAACAGACCAGATGAGGAGACTTTCCAAACCTTCAGAAAGCCATCTGAGGAACCGGAATACAGCAATCCAGCGTGGAACTGAAAAGGAACAAACATGTAGCTGAAGTACAATCTGCTTACATTTTGCCTTCCCTGGTTCCTCACTCCCTCCTCATCAACATGCCGGTGAAATTTTTACATAAATGCAGCTCTGATGCAAGCAGTGAGCCAGCCCTTGGGAGTTGTTTTTCAGATATCAAAATGTCTTAATTGGTACATGTCAATCTGGAAGAGTGGGTGTTCCTAAGAGAGCTGCATGTAGATACAGTCTGCCCTAGGTAGTACCCACATGTGATGCTGAGCCTCCATAACTGAAAAAACTGAAATCCAATGAATGAAAGGGGTAGGCCAATGGACAGTCTGGCTGTTGGAAAAGGCTCACATTCACATTCAGGCGCTCCCTCAAAACCCATCTCTTCAGGGAAGCCTACCCCACCCTCACCTAACAGCCATTCTCCCTCATTCCTCCCACCACTTCATCCCCCTCAGCCACTTCATTCCCCTCAGCCACATCCTATTGTTCCACTACCCCCTCCCTCCTAGATTGTAAGCTTGAAAGAGTAGGGCCCTCTTACCCCTCGTACGCTGTCTGTTTTTGTTGTACTGTGCCATGTATTGTCCCCCTATTGTACAGCGCTGAGCAAACCCTTTGGCGCTATATAAACTCGATGTAATAATAATAATAATAAAGATCACGCCTCAAAATTTCCACTTGCCTGCTCACATTTGGCGAGTGGAAATAAGGTGGGGGCGAGTGTTTCCCAGGCATGGCAGCTATC